TAGTACTCTCTCTCTCTCTCTCTCTCTCTCTCTCTCTCTCTCTCTCTCTCTTTGGGGCGGGGGTGGTATCTGAAAAATTACAAACCAATATTTATCTGCGGTCAGCATATTTTCTTGCTCCACCTGTCACTTCCCCTCAAATACTCTCTCATCCGCCTTATGTTTCATATAATGCCCACTTAATTCCTAGCTCATTCAAATTTTAAACTGCAGAACACATTTCACTTGCAAGCATTGTTAACCATAAAAACTCTTCAGAATTTGGTACCAGACCCATAAACCAGGAGCTTTTCCAATAAGTGAATGGGAGTATGCCCTCTGAACACATACATTCTTTCCCCAATTCACATGTTGGCTTGAGTTTAGAAAAAAATGCCACCATATAAGGATTTTTTTTCTTTTTTTGCTGGCCCAGTAGGACAAGGTAGAATATTGTACAGGAGTAAACATGCTACAGTCCTTCTGAAGAAGTCTTTCATCTTCTTTTGGCAAGAGGTACTAAGGCAACAAGCCTAAACATGAGTTCATGGGCACAGAAACAATGAAGTTATACATGATTTCTTGCCCCACTTTTATTTCCCAAAAGCCCCCCAGTATGAATGGATGCTATATGCATTCTGATAGCTTAGTGTGATTTTTTTTTTTTGGTAAGGGCAGGAGGCAATTTTTGTGATCATAAAAATATCTTCTTTGCATATCAAGAATTAAAATTTTGCCTTTTCTGACAGTAACTGAAAAAACTATCCAGCAATCTTAAGTAGTTGAGTAGATAGGGTAGATGAACCCCTCAAATTTTGTATAGGAAAGATAGTTGACAACTGTTTGGATTTTGGGGGATATCGGGTGGAAGGTGTGCATTTGGGTTTGATGAAAAATCTGATTTGGTGCTTCAGTGTTACAGATTCTAAAAAGATCAAAGATACCTTCACCCACTTGCACTCAATCAGGATTTTCAGGAGCAGTGTGCCTTTTTTCAAAGTAAGTGTCATTACTATAAATGCTAATTCAAACTGGCAGATGAGAAAGATGGCTACATTAACAGTATTTTTTAAAAAACTAGAGGTAACAGGGATGAAAATAGATAAAAGGAAGATAAAGAAGGTAAGGAAAAGACATAAAAAGGAGAAAGAAGAAATGGCTAATAATAGGATTCTGCTACTTTTGAAATATACTAAATCTATCACATGCAAACACACTTAGATTCTGTATTTTGTAAGTATCACAGCTCTCAGATTTTAACAGAATCAATCCTCCCAAAAGCATTAGAATGACATTTTATTTAAAGCTTCCTTTCTGGGGATTGGAGTTTTAATTTTCATTTAGCTTTCTGTTCTGTAACCCCTTACTCTTCATTACTGATAACAAAAGTGAACCCCAGTCTGCCATGTACAACACACTCAAAATTAATGAAAGTAATTGCAAAATTGTCCCCCTCTTAACCAAAGATAAATAAAATTATAGGCTTAGCAGGGCAAGGGGAGGGTTGTTACTCATACTGTGTCAATCACAAAATCCGGTGTCAGTTTGAAACATTATCTAAATTATGTGCATCTCAATATTTCTGATAAAACTGCTCCTCCATCTTTTGGATGAAGAACTTCTGATCCTGTTTGATTCCTGCTGTTAAAAGTGTACATATCTGTTGCAATTCAAGGGAATACTTATTAGTTCACCCAGCAGGAAGCATTTGAGATTACAGTCTATTACACAGGATGCACAGAAGACAAAGAAGGTTTAGCTACACCAATTTGTTATTAAAGAAATCACGTCAGGGGTGCAGCATTTTTTTTTTGTCTCTTGATGAGTAATACATCATGCAGAAGCTCCCTGTTACTAAGCAATCCAGAATCACATCTTGTTCCTGCTCTTAATTAGAGGTTAGCAAAATGGAGAAAAATACCCATAAGCAACTGAATTCACTTACTACACACAAAAATTTGGAGTGGGTGTTGTGAACAGTCTCCCCCTTCAGCGCCTCAAAACCCTGCCTGGTAGGCCCTCTTTCTGAATTAAGCGGCACACCCAGTCCACCAGCTGTCTATATTATTGTTTATGGTCCACATACATAATCATGACAGGTGCTCCCTTTCTGCTTCCTGGCTCAGACTTTTATACAGCTTACTTTCTTCTCAGCACTGCCTCATCAGGCTCCCTATAGATGCAAACTACACAAACTACCTAAGTCCCTCCTACTCTAACTACACGCAGTGCCCTAGATGTTCTAAGTGACCTGGGTGCTGGCTTTCAAAGTGCTTGATTTATAGTTGCTAACAGCACTCAGTCACAGTATTCAGTGTGGGTTAAATTCATCTGCCTGACAGTGGCTCCTGGAAGACTCTATTTACTGTTTAAATTCAGCTTAAACACTTAACATAGAGAGTAAGTGGGGTCCATTCAAGGCCTTCTGCATAAGGGTTAATTTCACCCTAGAAGAATTTTAAACCTACAAATGAGTTGTATAAGAGCCATACTCCCATGGGAGGTCAGGGTGCTCAGAACCTCATAATGTGCAGACCCAATATCATGATACAGAACTCTTAATGAGTAAGAACTCTCATTGTATCCTTTACCTAGTGCATTTTCACATGCGCATGCAGGGTACATGTTGGGTTTACTGGCAGCTTGGTAAGTGTACTTGACTGCAGTTTGGGAGATTTACAACTTCAAAACTACTTTAAAGTAAAGAGTTTTTTATTCTCCGCTTTTAGGATAAATGTGTTCCCTGCCAACACAAGACAGTAAAGATGATTGAGACCATGCAGATATTCATAGCTTGCCAGTCACTGGATAGTGGAAGCAGGCACT